GTTCATAATTAAGTATGCCTTAAAAATGTAAGTTTAATATGACATGCAAGATGTCATAGTATAGTAGGTCATATAAATGTTTCTAAAAGAGGTCATACTAGTATGCCATTAAAATTGCCAGAAAATGTCAAAGTTAGTATGTCAAAAAATTTCAAAACTGAGTAAAGCACCTCATTTTTTAAAATATTAAATAAGTAGTATAGTGTGTCTCAAATGTTTTCATAATAAAGTATGCCTTATAAATGTAATAGACATACAAAATGTCACAGTATAGTAGGTCATATAAATTTTTATTGAAGAAAAAAAAATTATACTATGGTAGGCCATGAAAAGGTGATAGTATGTCATGAAAACATCAAAGTATAAATGTTTACAAAAAAAAAATCATGCCATGTCATTAAAAAAGTTAAAAAATTGATATTGTATAGTATGCGATAAAAATTTCATGTGATAAAAAAAATCGTAAAATAGTATGCCATTAAAAAAGTGTCATAACATTGTTATAGTATAGCATGACATAAATTCTTTTAAAAAAAGGCATACTATGTCATAAAAATATCATGATATAGTATGCCATAAAATATTTCAAAGTCACAGTGCAGTACCTCAAAATATTTCATATAAAGTCATGGTATAGAATGTCATAAAAATATTTCGTAAAGTCTTCCATAACACGTCTTAAACATCATATGCCAGCAATAGTTACAACTCCTTGTCCTCATTTGCGAGGTAGTTTAACACTTGTGCTTAAAAAGAGCTTTGTGTAATTTGATCATGCAGCAGTCTGTCATAGGATTGCATCATGTTTTACTTTGACTGACAGCGTGCACTTTGTCCAGTTTTATGATCAGGGTTTTTGTGTGTTTTTCTTTTGTATTATGTCACCAGTTAATTGTTGACTATGCTGTTCATATTCTCTACGTTTAAATCGCTAATGCCATCTTTTTTCACTTTGTCTTTCTCAGAACACAAATGTACGTGTTTACAGCCGTCCAGGAGCCTCGGCCATCGCCGCTTCCTCCAAGATGTGATGCCTTACATTTCCACTAGGGGGCAGACCCCACATTAATCTATGAGCAAATGCACTTAGGCGACTACCAGTGACAAGATTTGACCTAACTTTCCGTCTGAAATACTAACCTGTAGTGTCAGGGTTGGGATGAGTTCATGTTTAATTCAGTCAATCCAAACATTTAATTTTCTCAAATTGTCAAAGCTAGCGACTTTCACGAGGCTCTTGATCTCTGATAAAACCCTATGAGGTTAAATTGTCTTGATTGAACAGCAGCTTTGAAATAAAAAATCATAAGGATTTTTTTAAATAAACTAGAACAGATTTTGAACAATGAACATGCCAATCTTGGGTGTTTGACTTTTACCACATAAAGGCCTTTAAAGTAATACTTAACTGTATTTACATTTTCATTTGATTGCATTACATCAGTTAGCCCCAACTGCTGTTGAAGTCTGTGACAAGAGATGATTGTTTCAAATAATTCCTCAGGTTGTGTGTACTACTATGTGTACTACTATGTGATGATGATCCCACTCTCTTCTTAAGCTCAAGTTTAAAGAAAACAAATCCTGCTATTCAAAGTGTCTTCTGTCAGCAGTCAAATAACTTTTATAAATGTATATATTAATATATATTATGCCAGACGTGCACTGCATGAATCTTAACTTTAGGTTCAAGCTGGTAAAATACCTTGAGTTATGCAGGACGGGCTCATGGCTTTGCTAATGGCAGTGCTTTTCGTTTCACTATGGACAATGATCTGTTTTGGCTAGTTTTCTGACAATAATTATAAAAAGCTATTTTATTTTAAACGAGTAGAAATGACAGTGAGAAACCTATGTCCAGTCGCATTGTTAGTTGTTTCCTTGTGGGCGTCTGCATCTCTCATCAGATATGCAATTAATGAAGAGCAAGTTTCAAGATGAGGAATTATTTCCACTACAGCTAAAACAATAGTGCCTTTTTTGTTTGCCAAAACTACCAAATACAGATTATTTCAACCTTAAACTGGAAGAATCAGTTATGAATTGCTCTGTTTGATGATGTAGGTTTCAACATGTCCTAATCTGTAGGAGGAGACTGTAGATGAGTTAAAGATGTAAAGGTCTAGTGCTAAATCTACACTGGCGTATTAATATGAATAACTGCCCAACTACTGTTTTTGTTACAATTAAATGGCATATTACAAAATCTGACAGTTTGGATATGAGCCTGATTATTTCTTACTCACCAGTTTCACTTTGAAGATATCATGTTGGTCATTTTCATGATGGGAGGAGACACCGCAACGATCCTAAACAGGATGCAAACACAAATGTATCACTGTCAGATAGAAAATGTTCATGTAACCTGCTTCATCTGTGTAAACATTGATCTGAATGTAACTGGGTTTTTTTATATTAATGTTCATGTTTCCTGTATTAATTAATTTGTAATCAAAGCCTATCAGCAGCTTTTATTTGTCTCCGTTTCTTCTATTCAACTTGTCTTTTAAAGCAGGTTTGCATGTTTATGGATCTTTTAACACAGCATGTGACATGAAATTGACATGTGATTGAGCTGATGGACTAAGAATGTTTTATTTTTAATGTGCAGTTGCGTCAAAAACAAATTTAATCTGACATTAGTGGGTTTCCTGTTAAGACTTCAGAGCTTAATCTGTTAAATATGAGTTGCTAGAATGCTGATACTAGCTCATGTCTGTTTTAGGCTCTTTGGCCCCGTTTACATCTGATGTTATCATGCGTCCTGGGTGACTGGATTGCAAGTTGACTGCTCTAAGTACAGGTGTGAATGCATCAAATGTGTCTTGAAATACAGTCGCTCTGACCACATTCAGAGGTGGTCTGGGTGACATATGGCCACATTGTTTCTGCTGTGTGAACGCTATTGTGTCCTGGGCCACATTAAAGGACCACCTAAGCTGACTTTAGCCCCATTTCCACCAAAAACTTTTGGTATGGTACCTTTGGAACCAAAACTAACCCTTCAGACATGCTAGACCCTAGTGTTTCCACCACAAACAGTCCTGTTATGTGGGCGGGGTTGTTGTCACTCGCTGTACTTCCTCATTATCGGTGACACAGATGGAAGTCTGCACCTTGTTGATCGTCCACAGAACGGGGTTGCAAGCCAAAATTTTCAGAACAAAATAAAACAGGCTACAGTGAGAGTCTCTCCATGGGATATTTAAAAATACTGGGTATGTGTGTTAAATCCTTCTCGGGCAAGCTTGGGGGTTTAGTGTCACATGAGCCTACAGGAATGGCACTCTGCAAAGCTTAATTTTCTCAGTAAGGATTAGAATATATAAACCCAGTTGAAATTAATATATATATATAAACGCTTTAAGATCAACTCTTTAATAAAAGTGTATGTCATATTAAAACTTTAAGTAATGGTCAACATTGTCACATAAAATTTAAGGTGTGCTGAGGGATTCACGTCGACAACTCATGCATTAAGTTACATAACAAGTAAACGTTTCAACTTAAAAGTAGCTGGGAGTCGGCCCAGTAAATTCTGTTATTTTTTTCTCAGACTCCAGCTGCTGTTAGAGGCAGCAAAACATCCTTTCATTTCATAGTTACAGTTTACTAATAAAACTCTACACAGTATGAACAGTGGTTACATGAGCCTCAAAACCAGCCACAACTCAGCCCTGAGCAGAGTGACCGTCCTCTACTGACCAATCAGACTGAAGTGTTCACAGCTCCACCTTTTAGTACCAGATCTGTGTGCTAGGTACCCCAACAGAGGGGGGACCAAAAATGGAGGTGGTACAGAACGGTTCCATTGGTACCATCCACAACTTTTCACGGTGGAAACGGGAAAAAAGCGTACTGAACTGAACTGAACCGTACTGCTTGGTGGAGACGGGGCCTTATGTGCTTATCCAATGCCACACCAGATTAGAAAAATGTCTGTTGGTGCAGTTACACAGACGTAGAGCTGAAGGGCCGTCTCCGGAGCCACTCTCCTCCCAGCGAATGTGTGCCCAGTTAGCACAAACCAACATAGCAGCAGCTGTTAAAAAGTCCTTACAAACCACTTAAACCTGCTAGTAACTGTTAGGTAATATTAGCAGTGTGATAGTAACAGTTAGCCTTGTCACTGTGCGTGTGTGGTTGGGTGGACTCTTGTCAGCTGTCCCCAGCACAGAGGTCATACCACCGCAGCAGTAGTCTCCTAGTGGCACTTTTCTCAAACAGATAGAGACAGGAAAATAATGAGACAAGAACGGGCTGTGACTACATGTGTTGCATTCAGGCTTACAAATAAGATTTTACTTATTTTAAATAGTAAAGGCAGTAAGTGTGCCTACAGCAAGATAAACATCCCCTCAGTTAGAAACAACAACGCACTTGATCTGTGTTTATTTGCATATAGAGCGGGAAATTAGATGATCACAACTAGTCACCTGAGATGCATATTTATTTAGACCCATTCTAATGCTAGCTTTGAACAGACAGACTTAAAGCTGTCAACGTGTGATCGATACACCCAGGATGCATGTTAATACCAGGCGTTAACACACTCTTTGATCCAAATGTATCCAACTCTACATTATCACCCTCAAACGAGTAAGGCTGTATCCCAAATCCATACAACACACGAGGGTTGCAAATTGTAAGCACTTTTCTTGACCAAATGTGTTTTTCCTTGATCAAAGCTGGCAGCAACATATTGCATATACTCTGAGAGCACTGCTCAGCCTATTGATTGATTCAATTTCACGTTTGATCAAACTCTTAACTACCGATTAATCCATTGTCAATCAATCATTATCATCCCTACAATATACTAATTCTATATACCATGTACACCTAGTAATACTCTGTTTTAGTAGTCAGTATAACCATAGGCACACTTTACCACTCATACTAAACAGGAAATAATACAGGATGTGTGGTGTCCGTAAATCAATCTGCTACTTCAACAAAAGAACCACCCCCCACATTGTTTTTCCTTTGTGCATTCCACTGGGGGATAATGGTGCATACCAAAAGCTTTAAAAGAAAACTGACATTTACAGAGACAGATGAGATCCTGCACACCTTCCTGCAGCCCCTCACTTCAAACTACAGTTGAGCTGTCAGCGATGAATCCAGCAGTTTACCCGCCTGAGGCTGTTCCATTGCAGGGGAGGTATGATGGGCGCCTTGGACAGCCTGGGGGACATTCAGTGGTTCAGCACACCACTGTGAACGTCACCACCGAACCCCCCAAGGACCACATCATCTGGTCCCTCTGCAGCTTTGTCTACTCATGCTGCCCCAGCCTTGGACTAGCGGCTCTCGTCTTCTCCATCAAGGTGAGTTTCATTCATGAGGAATTTTCTGTCGCTGCCTATCAAAGAATATTGAACAAAAAGAATGTAAGCCAAATCTTGCATCTCAAAGAGCAGATTTTACAAAGTAGAGACAGGGTTAGAGGAAACGCTTTACTGACTAAAGCACAGACCTCCATTCGACCATGACACGAAACACAGAGGACAGGCAGCTGGGGGACGAGAAGTATTCATCAGTAAGACTTAAGATATTATACGACTTAGAAATTACAAAACAACTACTGAAACACAAAGAAGTTATGAAAAAAACATGAACGAGGAAAAAGAACAAAGACAAAAAAAAAAGACTTTAAATGTGTTGCAAACTCTCTGTAATTGTTCTCGCTGCAAGTCTCCATCTTCAACAGTGTCCAGCAAAGACAACTATGTATGGTGAAAAGGAGAATTGATGGAAATGGGTGAAATAATTGTATTTGCTGCATGAAAGACAAAAATCTTGCAGGAGATAAGATTAAGTCAATGCTCAACAATAGCAGTTTAGGTTCCCTTGAGGTCGAGCATATCTATGAATCCAGTTTTAAAATCAATGTGCTTTGGTCCTTCCAGGCCAGAGACCGGAAGGTGATTGGAGATCTGGAGGGTGCCCGACACTACGGCTCCACTGCCCACTGTCTCAACATCATAGCCGCAGTCCTGGTTTGCATCATGGTCATTATTTTCATTATTACAGTCACTGTTGTGGCTATACAGATTAATTCGTATCGCCCCTACTATGGCTGAATTTAAACAGTATTAGAGCTGTCTGCTGCTGTGGTTTGGTGGCGTTTGTGGTTTCTCTTTTTATATCTTTTTACTCATATCCTCAAGCAGAAACGATACAAATTTTCATTGGATGTTACTAGAGTCTTAAATGGAACTGAACCATGTTTCCTTAACTGCTGTCTGCCGTCAAGTTTGAGTGCCAGACTGTGTTATTAAATTCCTGTCTGCGAGGTTTGTGACCTTGTTTCAAGATTCATTTGTCAATAAATGAAACTTTCACTTTTCTGTTTTATAACTTTCTGAAATGTGTCTGTGATTTTTTTTTTGAGGGTAAAAAAAAAAAAGAAAAGAAGAAAGTGGCTGTATACCAAGCAGCAACCTGTGAGGCTAAAAAAATGAAGCCGGTGTGTGGAATAAAAACTGCAGTTCCTCTAATGGACCCTTGAGTCTCACCCAAACAGGTTGTCTGTGTTTTAAGCTCCTTAAATCAGACGTATCTCACCAGGGGTCTTATAAATTTTTCATTTCAAACTTGAATACTTCAACCCCCTGAAAGAGGTTCTTAAGAGATTTTCAGACCATATTTGACATCTGACTACAAACAGTTAGTCGTTATCAGGTAAATACCGTAAAACTCAGAATATAAGTCGCACTGGCATATAAGTCGCAGTCTATTTTTTAAGGTCTCAAACAGGGAAAACAAGGTTTTATATTACTATTTGTTAATAAAAACGTTATACAAGTTATTCCTACACTGTTTCCCTTTATTTTTAATTTGAAACACATTCAAAACACAATAACCTCTTAAGCAGCTTTGGTTACTTTTCAGATTGCAATTTTCCAAACAACCTCTTCAGGAAATAAAATTATGGTATAACAACATCTGAGCCATAAAAATGAGTTTAAATTAACGTTTAACTTCTTTTTTAAGAAGACAGCATTACAGTACCTTATTACAGTGTGGGCTGTAACTATACATGCTTACTCAAATCCCAAAAACGAATAAGTTTAAATTACTACGTAGCACCATCTTGTGGGTCAAATTACCTATGTCAGCATTTACCTTGGTCTATAGGTCGCACCGGTCTATAACCTGCACCCAACTTTTTAGATGAAAAAAAAGGGAAAAAAGTGCGACTTATACACCAAGTTTTAAGGTAAATGCTTTGGAAATCTAGAATCAGAAACAGAAATACTTACCAATTGCCGTGATGAAACTGTGATTCGTTATAACTGTGACAGGCTACGTGCATGGTCAGCACATGCCCACTACTGCAACTAATCCAACTAACATTCACATTGCATTCTGTATATCTGTGCGTTCCAGTATGCCACAAAAAGATTTAGTATGTCCCTACACATAATCTGTTAAATGCAGTATGCCAAAAATACCAGGATGTTCTACTACATCCGGTCTGATTTTGTAGTATGCAAGTCCAACTCACAATCTTCTGTGCAGCGACACCCACTGACCCACAAACAGATGATGGCTTGACAGCTGACTGACAGCTGTCAGAAGTCACAGTGATGGAAGACAGCGCATTCAAGTAACTGATGACCAGTAGAATGGTAATAACAGGAATACTGATTGTTTCAGTAATCATAAATATTACAAACAACAATAGGACATAACTATAAAAACAACTGACAGATCTGCAGATGTAATTTCACTGTCATAAATATCATATGTTTGAATCTACAATCTGTGCAGTTATAATTTTAAATGACACACATTGCAAAGTAACAACAGCAGAGCTCTGCGGGTCGATCTCCGTCTCTGGAGAACTCAGTGAGTGGCGTTTGTTTTCTCTCCAAAGTAACAGATATAAAAGCAAAAGGGTCAAAGTTCAAGGCGTAATGTTATGAGACAGCAGGCTCGTTTGAGATGAACTGTGCCTCACCTGGAGAGAGGACGACATCAGGCAGCTGCAGCAGGAGGTGGTGTCAAAAAGCAGCTGTCAAGTTGTGCAGTTTCCAGCAGCCTTCAGTCTGTACAGGAAGTCACAGAAAACATTCACATCCTGTTAGATCTGATGTTGATTTATTAGAATATTGTCAGACTCATATGTAAGTTTGTTCTCAGTCTCTTAATTATCATAGATTAATTTGTGTAATTTATGTTCATGGTTCAACCTCAATTTCCAGTCAACATCATATCACTTTGCTGCTGCAGTTTGACCTGTCCCCTGAACTACACAGGCTAAATAAAATGTGTCTGACTAATATTAAATATTTTCAGAGGAAAAAAATACAAGACAACAGCTTATATAAAGATCAGTCAGATCCAGTCAGGGCTTCACATCTGTACAGATGTTATTTCAAGAATCCTCACATCCCACTGACCACAAGTCTCTGTGATGGTAAATACTTCAATAATTAAAACAGTCCAATGTTAATATACAGTAGACTCTGTATAGTTTGATGAATGTATTCAGTCTCTGACTAAGAAACGTCACCATCAGTAACACGTTTTCTGTGAACAGAATAAACTTTCAAATCAGACAAATAACATCTAAATCTCTAAAAATTCAACAAAAATGAAAGGTTTATCTAAAACGTCATATTGTTGAGTCAAGTCTAAATCTGGAAATTATTAGATCAGGTGAGAGCCAGGCGTTTCCCATCATGCCCTTCGGACACCCTGCTCTCGTGAGATTATCACTGTCCACTTTTGTATGACATCAAAGCAAATCGGGATGTAATTGGACAGAAAACTAACTGGCATACAGTGTGTGCTGATCGCTGGTGATCGAATGTGTGCAGGCCTGCAGCTGCTATACAGTCAGGTCCATAATTATTTGGACAATGATACAGTTGTTGTCATTTTGGCTCTGTACACCACCACAATGGGTTTTAAATGAAACAATGAATACCTGCTTAAAGTGCAGACTCTCAGCTTTCATTTAAGGCTTTTTTCAAAAATGTAGTATGAACCGTGTAGGAATGACAACCATTTCTTCACACAGTCCCCCGACTTTAAGGGCTCATAAGTATTTGGACAAACTAACATAATCATCAATTAAACAGTCAGTTTTAATACTTGGTTGCAAATCCTTTACAGTCAATGACTGCCTGAAGTGTTGGACACATAGGCATCATCAGATGCTGGGTTTCTTCCCTGGTGATGCTCTGCCAGCCCTTTACTGCAGCCGTCTGCACTTCCTGCTTGTGTTTTGGGTGTTTTGCCCTCAGTTTTGGCTTCAGCAAAAGAAACGCATGCTCAGTTGGATTCAGGTCAGATGATATGACTTGGCCATTGCAGAACATTCCACTTCTTTGCCTTAAAAATGTCTTTGGTTGCTTTTGCAGTATGCTTCAGGTCAATGTCCATCTGCACTGTGAAGCATCGTCCAATGAGTTTTGAAGCATTTGGTTGAATCTGAGCAGATAATGTAGCCCCAAACACTTCAGAATTCATCCTGATGCTCTTCTCAGCAGTCACATCATCAATAAATACAAGAGAACCAGTTCCACTGGCAGCCATACATGGCCATGACATAACAGTACCTCCACCATGCTTTACTGATGAGGTGGTGTGCTTTGGATCATGAGCAGTTCCTTCCCTTCTTCCTTCTCTTGTCTTCCCATCATTCTGGTAGTTGATCTTTGTTTTATCTGTCCATAGTATGCTGTTCCACAACTGTACAGGCTTTTTAGATGGTTTTTGACAAACTCTAATCTGGCCTTCCATTTTTAAGGCTAACCAATGGTTTGCATCTTGTGATAAACCCTCTGTATTTATTCTAGTGAAGTCTTGTCTTGCTTACAAGAGCAGCAGGATGAAAGCTGAAGTGTTTGGGGCACCATTATCTGCTCAGATTCAACCAAATGCTTCAAAACTCATTGGACGATGCTTCACAGTGCAGTTGGACATTGACCTGAAGCATACTGCAAAAGCAACCAAAGACATTTTTAAGGCAAAGAAGTGGAATGTTCTGCAATGGCCAAGTCATATCATCTGACCTGAATCCAACTGAGCATGCGTTTCTTTTGCTGAAGCCAAAACTGAGGGCAAAACACCCAAAACACAAGCAGGAAGTGCAGACGGCTGCAGTAAAGGGCTGGCAGAGCATCACCAGGGAAGAAACCCAGCATCTGATGATGCCTATGTGTCCAACACTTCAGGCAGTCATTGACTGTAAAGGATTTGCAACCAAGTATTAAAACTGACTGTTTAATTGATGATTATGTTAGTTTGTCCAAATACTTATGAGCCCTTAAAGTCGGGGGACTGTGTGAAGAAATGGTTGTCATTCCTACACGGTTCATACTACATTTTTGAAAAAAGCCTTAAATGAAAGCTGAGAGTCTGCACTTTAAGCAGGTATTCATTGTTTCATTTAAAACCCATTGTGGTGGTGTACAGAGCCAAAATGACAACAACTGTATCATTGTCCAAATAATTATGGACCTGACTGTATATACTAAAAGTATGCGATTCGGAACGTACCAATTGATGTGATGCTGTTGCCAAATAATTTCCAGAAGATTGTAGCTAGGTACTTTAGCTGATACAAGTCAACAATTGGTCCATCTCTGTAGTAATATGGCAAGCCGTTTTAACATTTAATAGCTAGACTGGATATTCGTTACTGATATCTGCAACATAATTTTGCCGAGTGAAAACTCTTATTACAGATATCTGTAATTCAGTTTTGACTAGTAAGATTCAAACTACTTTTGCCATTCATGTGTATGGGGTTTGTCATTATAGATATCTCCAATGTAGTTGCTGATATCTGCAATTGTTATTTCGGATATAATTGTGGATATCTGTAATTCCAGTTTGAGATATCTACAATTTAATTTTGACTAGTCATAATTCAAGTTCAAGATATCTTTAATTATCATCAATTGAAGATATCTACATGGTCCTTTCTAGATATCTTGAATTGAGTTTCAGATAGTCAGAAGTTGTAGATATCTTGAACTTGAATTATGACTAGTCAAAATTAAATTGTAGATATCTTAAACTGGAATAATAGATATCTCAAATTCAGCTGCAGATATCCGCAATA